AAAGCACGACCTCTTTACTAGAATCACATCGTCTGTTTAAGGGAACTGCCTCACATGGAAACCACTCCAGCTTCTCAGGGGCACCACTAGATGTGATTCATCCTAAACACGAGTTACTGCCACCAGCATGAACTTACACCCTCAGATAAAACGCTTCACTTCAGTGAAATGCTGATCACGCCCACGCTGACTAAACGTTCCTACAGCTGCTTCTTACAGTTACTGTGCTGGCCATGGCGGTCCAGTGGTTCAAGTGTCTGCCTGCCATCCCTGCTTTACCATGTGCTGACGCTGATGGTGGCGCCACTTCCTGCTCCGTGCCGTGCCACTACTGCAGGCAGCAGAGGGCGACAACGCCCTGCGGATAAACGGAGTAGGAGGTGACGGCACCATCAGCGTCAGCTCTGAGGAAGTTTGCAGCGGCGAGTGAAACTGTCAGCAAGGTAAAGAGAAACCTTTGCTGTGTTTTAAAAAAGAACCAACGATGCAGCAAGTGTCCTTAAGATCAGGACCGAGGGCAGAGCGGGTGTCTGATTAGTAACGAGGGTTTCTGAGATCCCCTCAGCTGATGGAGCTGCTCACCTTATCCATGGATTTCACGACCATAGCTAGGTGTTGGAACATGGATGGACCATCAACCGGGAGCCCAACTCCATCTTTCACTGCAGCAGCAGCCATGAACAAGACACCAACAGATACTTGAACTCCTCTGCTTGCAGCAAAGCCACCTCAGAGGGAGTTATTCGTGTGAGTTCAGCTCACAGAAACAGAAGCTCGCTCCAGCTTTGAACTGCCGCTTGAGTTAAGATGGCTCCTTCATTCGGACGAGTGAGAACCTTCACCAGTGACATACTGTTTATGTCTTCAGAGACTCAAAATGGTTGAAAGTCAAAACCGTTTCACCACAAAGCTGGTTGAACATGCACAAGAGGGGGGGGGGCGGCATTCACAATCAAAGCACTTCTTCTGTCACCATTACACCACTGGTCATGGCAGGGAGGATGGTCCATGCAGATAGATCACACGTCTTTTTGCAGAAGCTGGTAATGAGGTCTGAGATGTGGATGGAGGGGTGACCTCATGTCACAAATTCTTGCAATTTTAATAGATTTGGTTCATTTTTGTTGTTTTTTCTGAAGTGTGAACCTCAGCTGGGGAGATTTGGATGAACCACCTTCCACTGGGTTCCACCTTTGGGTCCGTACAAGAGAAGGAGTTAAACTTTCTGTCACAGAGCTGTTGTTGTCTACTCGCTCAGCAGCTGGAGAGCCTTTTGACTCGCACGACCGTCGTCCGGCTCTGCCTTTACCGAAGCCAGATCAAACAAACCGCTCAGAAGCCAGATTGTTTCTGACCCAGTGTATTCGTGTTAAAACGGATCTAACCGGTCTCGTGTTCCTGGACCCTCAGCCTCCACGTGAAACCAAACACAGAAAAAGGCTCAGAACAAGCTTGGAAGGAACGTTGCATTTGAGATGCGAGATACAATTAAGCACACGCGCCTCTACGTGTTTACAACATATCAGCTGTTTAGTGTGGTCCTGGACAGCTGTGTGAGTGGGAAAGGAAACGTCAAAGGCAGATGCTGTTGCTGAAAATAACCCTTCTTCAGCTAACGCTACTTCAGAGGAACTAACAAACATCCTGGAAGCTGTACAAAAAATGTCCCAAAGCAAATAAAAACATTAAATGAGAGCAATTAGAATAATTAAAGGCGGAGCGACTCGGATGAAGCGCATTAACTTCTGCTCTGGCAGATTTATAAGTGATCCAAACCTCCCACTGCTGTATGGCCGCTGCCCAGAAAGCTCATTAAAACAGAAAAGCGGTTCTTTATGTTTTTCTATGTGTGTTATGATCTGGCAGCTGTTTTTCCTCCTTTTTATGTATTAGTGTTAAAAACAAAGTGTTAATATCGGGTTGGAGGAGGCACCATGCACAGGCTGTCAGGGCTGCAGCCCCACCAACCAGGACGGGCTCAGATCACACCCTAAAAACCACCAAGTGGACCGGAAATCTGGAAGCTGATGGGAATGAACTAACGACTATTTTAATAGTCGACTAGTCACCGACTATTGAATCGATTAGTCGACCAATCGGATAATTATTACAGTTTTCTTGAATTTAGCATGAGGTTGCTTTAATTATGTGAAAAGTAATAATAAACACAAGAAAGATGGGTACTTCAATGGAAACTGCATATTTTATTGAACTTTGCTGCTGATAGGCCGATTCACACCAAAAGTAAATAAAAATGGCGTCGAACACCAATTAGGCACAGTGCTCAGTCAGTATAGACGTACATGCATAAATACAATTAAAGTACTTTTGCCAGGCACGGTCGGGAATAACATTAAATCTCCTTTTTAAAAAGTTAAAATACGTTTAAAAAAAGTGCAACGTACATCCAAAACCAAACGTGTTGTCTTCGTGTTGTTGAAATCTTACCGAGGTGAGTCAGACTCGGTTTCATTCAACTGTCCGACGTCTTTAAGGGTTCATGCATCACCGAGGTGCTGCCGTGTTACGCGAGGACTGCTTTACTAATCATGCAGGTCATCTTTTTATTCGCCGATTCCCGGCTGGAACGCTCCCAAACTTGAGATGCTTTGGTACGCGTAGCTGCTGTGTCGGACGCCGCCATTTCTGTTAGCTGGCGCTCAGCAGAGAAGCTGTTGCGCACGTGTGACTCTCGGCAGAGATTGTACTGAAGTGAGATGTCTCACTCTGTCGGAAAAAACACGTCTGGCGACAACGTCGACGATGAAAATCAGTGTGGACTATTCCTGTTGTTGGAGCCCTAGAATGAATGAACAGAAATACTAAATGGGAAACAACTGATGCAGTTTAATGTTTGGACTATAAAAAAGTGTCGAACGAGCAGAACATTAACCTCAAAATTGGGTAAATCATGTAGAAAAGTTGGAGTGGGAACATTTAATTTTAATGAATAAATAGATTTTTGTATATAAATAATTTCACAACTGAGAGAGTTAAAAGAGTGGATGTGTTCGCTAGTGCTGAATCTAAATATTGTTTAAATGAAAGGTGTCTTAGAAAAGAGCCTTTTTACAACGGGAAACTAATCTCTGAGCCTCTGTGATGCATTTGAAACTTTGCTGGGTCTCACAATGGCCCAGGAGCCCTGACAAAAGGTCAAATACAACCCCGCAATAATGGCGTCCTCACATACGGTCTTCCCGGTCCAGCCTGGCGTCAGCCCGTCCCCGCGCGGCCAGCTTTTGTCCACTCAGTCTCCTCGGATGTCTCCGAGCATGTGGGCTGGGCAAAAGACGCGTGGAAAAGTCTGTGATGTTTTTCTGAAGTTGGTAAACAAAGTGAGCAGTGTTGCTTCTGGAGACTCTCACTGAGAGCTCCTCACATCAGTCCATCCCCTTGCTGCCTCGGCTGGAGCGGTGGCTGCGAGCTGCAGCCAGAGAAGATGTTTACTCCACCTCATCCAGACTGATAATGAATCGTGCTGCTGGCTGATTTTGCCCGCCAATCAGAGGCTCTCTCTCCAAAGGAGGCATAAACTTCAGCCAATCAGTCGGTAGTGGGTGTGTTGGGTCAGCCTTGCACGAAGCGGACTGCAGGAGAGCAGGTCCAGATAAAGTTGAAGGGACCACATGAGCCCGGAAAAGGCACAGATTACCCAGCTGTGAACGCAAGTAACCCACCAGAGCTGGACTGCTGACCCCGACGTGAAAGCTCTATAAAGCCCCGCCCCACGTGACCCGGACCTGGATAATAAAAGAGGAAGTGAGTGTCTGGCCAGCCATGGCGGCTACGGGAGTGTGGACAAAGGTGGAACAAAGTGAGAGTCCGGCTGAATGTTTGTGCCTGTGGATCAAACTATGGATCTATCTGGCATTCATTCAGTTTGTATATTCCCATTGCATTATGGGATGTGAGTGGTGCACCAACATTGGTCCAGTGTGTGAGTGTGTGTGTTTGTGCCTGGGTGGATGGCTGTATGTGGTGTGAAGCACCTCGGGTGGTTGTAGAACCCAACAAGGCGCTGAACAGACGCAGACCACTTAGACCCGTTGTTCTCCTCTCGTCCAACAAGGATACAAGAAGCTTGGGCTAGCGTTAGCAGTGGCTTGAGTTGTTCACGTGGTTAGCATGCTCCAGACCCAACGTTTATGAATCGCTAACGTTAAAGTGGGTTGAGACATGCTAGTAAGGGGTGTGTCTAAGCGTATGATGCGTTGGACCGGCTTTTCTCTGAATAAACTGTTCCTCAGCAGCCATTAGGAGATGACTAATTTACGTAAGGAAGCGGGTCGAAAAGGCCACACCCGTTTTGGTCAAACACGCCAAGCTGCCAACATTCAAAATAAAAGCGGCTTTAAACTCAGGGACACCTTAAAAACAACAGTTACAGATTATTTTACTAACTTTTAGACTGTGGTACATTTGAAGTCATTTACAGTAAATACGCCTGCGCTTTACATCAGATTGTCTATAAATCTTGTGTTCTGTGATCGATGATGACTGCATCTGCTCCATGTGTCTTCCTTACCAACAAAACTCCCTTAAAACCCATGTTACAATCGTTTTGTGGAGTTTTTCTGTCCCTTGCTGTGCCCTTGCAGCCAACAGGATAAGTGGTCGATGCAATAAACTCATCTTTTGAGAAAGAAAATTAAAGCGATGAACAGGACGGAGGAAATAATAAAGGCAAAACGGATGCGAGGAAACAGATAGACTAGGGCTTAGTGGGATGGGGAGGCAGCCCAAGGTTAAACGTTGCACTTTAAACACAACAAGAGTGCAGACGCTGACCATGACCAGAAGTCCTAGAAATGTCCCAGACTAAAAACACAAAGTAATGAATAGTAGGAATATTGAAATGTGTTCTGTTGCTTCTACAGTCCTATACGTTACAGGAGTTGATCCATTTCAGAGGCAGATCTGTGGTCATGGTGGAAGCCACATGTGCACTGTTGCTGCTGCGTGTGTGGATGCTCGGGTTGGGATGATGGGAATGGTACCTGGGATGGTGGTGGGCTCTACAGCAGTCCTGAAGAAAGTGACAGAAGGTTCAGATTTGCCCTGCTGGTTCTCCGCCACCACATGGATCTCATAGTCCGTATTCCAGTCCAGACCGCGCAGCATGGCGTACTCGCTGGCCGGGGGGAGGCGGAGCTCTGGCTTCCAGTCGGATACGTGCTTCTGGGTGAAACAACGAGGACGAGACAGAGATGGGGGTTAAATAAAAAAATTACATTCACCAGTTCTCATCTACAGCTAAAGCACAAAAACCCAACTAAACTTCATTTAGTGCCTGGAAATGATTATTTTTGTGTTCCCTTTTAAGAAAACATATTAGCAAATATCCACTGGTCGGATCCCAGCTGGAGATTTTCTCCTGCTGGTTGCTCTTTCCTCACTCTTAAAATTGGCAGAACTCATCCTGGGAACCCGCTTTTTGTCTTCAAGAAGATAAAAACAAAACTTGCTGGGAGAAAACAACGACTTACAGATTGAAGTGAGTTTCGTGTTGCAGTGGTTGGCAGAGTGAAATTGGTCATTTCTGCTCCTGCAGTAGCCCTGATAAGGCTCGACTACCATGGAGAAACACATCTCCTCTCCCAGAATACTTACAGCCTTGTATCGGAGCAGGTAGTGTTTGATGGGAGAGCCGCCGTCATCCTGCTTGATCCATTTGACTTTGAAAGTATTGCCCCCCTTTACGGCTGTGATCTCTAGTTTGGGAGCATTTGGTTCCCCTAAACAGGAAAAACCAAAAGTTGCTGTTAGTCCACAAAAATATGGATGCTGCATCAACATTTGAACGACGTCGCAAATTCCCTTTAAACCTCTTCTGGCCTTAGAGCATCAGGATTAGTACCTTCATCATAAACCATATCCAGGCCTGTTGGTGTCTACTGCCCTCTGGTGGTACATAGTAATATAATTATATAACAAAAATATATGGTCGCTATGTTGACATTAGCCAAGAAAATGGTTTGAAAACTTGTGGCGTTAAATGGTTCAAACCTAAAATAGCCTTTAAAAGCCTTCTTAAATGGCTAATATTACAAGTTACAACCACTCTATAAGTAGCTGATCATTAAATGAGCTTTAAAAAAGATTGACTTCATATGTAACTTATCTAGCTTGTCAATAATTGGTGATTGTCCAAAGTGGGACCACAACCCATCAACCAATAAACTTTTAAACTCGTTGTTGCTCATGTTGACATCTGAAGGTCATCAATAGACTTTTGAGAGTTTTAAAACTGTTCTCGACACAAAGAGCACTGAAATTTAAAATGCGTTACAAAGCAAATCTATTATTATTATTACTATTCTTATTATTTTGGAGCATTTGTTTAAAAAAACAGCAAAAATGTTGATTATTTTGTTATTCCAACTGGACCACAGGTGGATTCTCTCTAAAGCAACAGTGTGAAGGAACAGGGCAGAGCCGCTAACGGAGGTGTTGCTCTCCTTCACGCTGCTCATTACCAGCTCTGTCCTCCTGGGTCTTTTCTACTGGGTCACAGAATAATGAGCCTGCATGTTAACTTATTACTTTTAATAACATTTACATAGTCTGTAGGGAGGGAAGGTCAGAGGTTCTCCGAGTGTGTGTGTGTGTGTGTGTGTGTGTGTGTGTGTGTGTGTGTGTGTGTGTGTGTGTGTGTGTGTGTGTGTGTGTGTGTGTGTGTGTGTGTGACAGACGTTAGCTTCTACTTGTGTTATTGTGGTGTTTACACAAGAACAAAGACTAGATTTCTCCCACTCTGAGGTTTATCTTTGTGCAAAAGTTAATTTATCGCTGTTTTGCTCATTTGAGATGGCTTCCTGATGGCCTCTGTTTGGAGAAATATTGTTTGGGTATAACACGTCAAACAGGCAAGATTAGGATAAAACATCTGTGATGCATCTTTTCCGTTATTCTTTGTGATTATTTACAAACAACAACATCACTAGCAACAGAACAAAGCACTTCTAGTGGTTAAGGCAGAAATCTGTTGTTTTTTCCTCCAACGGCGCCATCTATAGGGTGAAAACTGTACTACTCTTTTTCTTACTGCTGTGATTACGGCTGGAAGCAACGTCTCTCACCCGTAAACGCACACGTCTAGCCGACCAGCTCAGCTAAAACGCACTGTTAATATTCTCACATTGTGCTGTTTGTTCATATTTATTTGTCCAAAAGAGACGTCGCCAACTCCGCATCAGTGTAGGTACGCGCACGCGCCGACAGACATCTGTAGGTAAGCAGACGTCTAACGCTATTGGTCAATGCTGAATGGTGTTCAGCATCAACAGCGTTCAAATCGCACACGGCTCTATGGAACGGGAGGCTTACCCAAAAAATGACATATCACCTACTTTATATCACAGTGAGATCGCCCTTTTATGGATTTCCATAATAATCAACTCCTGGAAGGGAGAAAACTCCGGATTGCTGCTTTAGGATTGTGGGAATATTTCAATATTTCTGGAGAAGTAACCATGTAAAGGTTAATTTAAAGAAAAACATCAGAAAAGACAATGTTTCTCTGAACTGGAACTGTTCACAAAGTAATAGTAATTATTATAGCGTTGTCATAAACATAATGCTGAAATAAATCTTCATAATCCCTGTAAAGCCACAACAGTAACCAGGGAGTAAATAATTCCATTCATGCAACAGGAAGCTGTAAATTAGCTTTAAATATTGATCAGTTTGACACTAAAACACTCGTTCATGTGGCCAAAATATAAAAGTCCAAAACACACAAATCATTCCCTTATTGTTTACCCTTTCCTTGAACTGAGCGTATATTCTAATGGGAATAAGTTCATACCAGAAATATTATTTCATTTTCTGAAATGTGGCTTAAAAACCACGTTTTTAAAATTCTGCACTTGAAATGGTCGGAAAATATGCGTCTCCTGCAGAGGATTAGCAGCTGCAGTTAGTGGAATGAATATGCATGAAGTTAGTGATCAGTGGAGTCCACCCGCTTCAGCAGAACGGTGTGAGCACGGCTGGGCTGTAGGGGAATTAGAGAGTTAGCAAAAGCAGCAGCTGCAGAATGGTGGTGGCTAGGCGTCGGAGCATTCAGCAAACACCAGTCCGGGTCAGGAAGTTATTTAACAGCCGGAAGTGAGGAGAGGTGAAGATAAAAGACATTGGAAAATGTGGGTGCTGCCACTTGTGGAGCAGCGGCCGCACGAGAGCTTGTGAAGATGTGAATGAGGGTGGTGGGGTTGCACATGCAGCTCATGTTAACAGCGTGCATCGGGGGCACGCGCATGAAGGAAATGTGATTAGAACATGTGTTAATACAGGAGTCTGTTTTTTTTAGGATTTAAACTTTTTAAAATCGATTCTGGATGTAAAGGTTTCAAACAAAAACAAAAACAAAAAACCTAATTTTGATGCCAGAGATTGTGTAAAAGCTGTGAGTGGGTTTCTGAACAGTCAGCTAAGGAGACATGACAGAAGACCGAGAAAAACGCGGGCAGGACTATTTTTTTTCACGTTGAATAAGAAGATTTAACCAGAAAGAGGAAATCAACTTGCATGCTGCAGTAATGCATGCTGCAGTAATGAACTGCTGCAGTAATGCATGCTGCAGTAATGCATGCTGCAGTAATGCACCGCTGCAGTAATGCACTGCTGCAGTAATGCACTGCTGCAGTAATGCATGCTGCAGTAATGCACCGCTGCAGTAATGCACTGCTGCATTACTGCACCACTGCAGTAATGCACCGCTGCAGTAATGCACCGCTGCAGTAATGCACCGCTGCAGTAATGCACTGCTGCAGTAATGCACTGCTGCGAGTCCAGTCAGTAAAGCAGTGTGAGCTGCATTTGGAGTGAAAAGCATCAGCTGTTAAAAAGAGTGATGCACAACTCAGTCAGCTGTTTGAAATATAACTTGGTATGCCAACAAGTGGTTCTTTTGAAGTGGTTTCTGTAAAACGTTCATGACCAGTTAATGTCATAGCTGTCAGAGATAGCTCTGTGAAAAACCTTAGTTTGAGAAAATAGAGATTCACTTTGACCACACTAACGAGCTAACGGCTAGCCACAGCGAGGCCAGTAGCGAAGGGGATTTTTACTCATGGAAATGATACTTTAATCATTGCTGACATTATGCAAGTTGAACCAGGTGTGATTTTTTTCTTATCGCATATGTATAATCATGCATGGTTCGTATTCCTGAGAACACATCTGCAAATATGAGCAGGTACTAGTTCATGCATTTGATTAAAATTTAGCTGGAAATAAATAAATAAATTACAAGAGTAAAACAAATGAATTATGTATGACTCTGTAATGTTTAAAGAGGCCCTTCACTCATGTCTTTATTACATGTGCGGTGGTCTCTAGTAGGAATGAATGCCTTCTAAATCCAACTCTGGGGAAAAAAGCTCTGGTGTTCCTGTTTCAGGACAGAGAAGAAAATAGCTTCAGATGACGGGATTTGGAGTCTTATTTTCTGATATTCTGACATTTAGCCTCTGATTGGGTAATAGCTACATGACTACCACAGACTTGCAACATTAATGTTTTATCTCCACAAATAACACACACCTGGAGGAGTTCTGCTCTGTGGTGGAGTTGCTAATGCTGATGGTTAGCATCTCCTAGCAGAGACACATTTTAAAAATCTAAATAAAATATTCAAAATTCTAATTAGTGGCTTTTGCTAAACACTAAACTGTTAGGAACATAAGAATAAGTAAGAACATTTTGAAGCGCTCATTCAGAGCAGAGTGTTGGGTTAAAATGAGAATTAGGATGAATGACGTAATGACTCACGTTTAGTAACTGAATGAGGTTTACTTGTTCCTAAAGTCACAAACTCCTCGTGAACAAAGAACATTTACCTTCTGTTGATCACCGAAGACGACATCATCAGCACCATGCAAGAGCCACATGACACAGTCACATGATGCGCACGCACATGATTGGTTGGAGGGAAATGAAATAAAAAAGAAACAGGAAGAACAGAGTGGGTGGGAGGGGCAGGGGTGGATGAGAAACAAAAACAATTAGAAATGATGAAACAGACCAAAACAAAACAAGTGAAAATGTTAGACACAAATTTGCAAACAAAACAAAAAGAGCAAATAAACTATTTGTGAAAAAAGTTGCATATAAAAAATGTTACTTGGGATAAAAAGGTGGATAAAAGGAACATTTAACACGAAAGAAAACTCTGCTCATAAAATAAATTCATTCAACCAGACAACACATATATATTTTTTAAATGGTATAAAATCACTGACGTCCAATTTTTATTTATTAGACTGCTTGTTCTTAAAGGTGCAATATGTAGGAATTATGTACAAATTACATCCCATGGTATAATATGGTTACTGCAATCACTCTCACTACTGTTCTGTGAGTTTCACGCCTGTTGCCAGTTACAGATCAGTACCAGAAGATTCTAGATTACAAGCAAAAACGAGTCATACACAGTAAGTTGATAAGTAGATAAATACATTGTCATATCTGGTGTCAGCACCTTGGGTGTTTAATGGTAGGGAGCACCTACCACATTGATTACGGTAATTTGTCTCCAGCATTAGCGGGAGTGTGGCTATTTGCTGTCTTGCTGTTAGCTTGCTGTTATAGTTCTGGATGTCTCAATAAAGGAAGTAAAATGCCACAGTTGACCCATTCCCTTCACACACATTCTACTGTATTATCAAGTTGTTGGTGAGTGAAAAAGTAGCTTGAGATATTTTTTGAGCCGACTATCACCATTAGCATTGTT